GCTACAAATATGGAATCTGGATTTGGAATTTGGTTGTGCCATTTCCTAGTTGTTAGTTAACTTATTTGAGCCTGATTTTCTTCACCTGTTAAATGGTAGTGTTTCTTTCTTGGCCCTTGCCCTCTCCTGCTTTATATCTCATCTCTCCTTCTAGATGGGAAGCTCTTTAAGGAAAGGGTGGATATCCCATATTCCTGGGGCTGTAGACATGTGGGAACTGCTGCCAGAGTTCCTCCTTTAAAGGAAAGAGATTTTACACAACCTGACTCGTGACTAAGGGCAGAAGCATTGCTAGCCCAAGGCTCCCTTCATGTGGAGGACACACAGGACAAGCTGTATAGGGCCCTGGCTACTGTTTATGGAGAAATAGAAATGAGCCTAGAGCCTATCTTTAGCCCTTCTTCTGGTTCAAGGAGCTAAGTGGTCCTGCAGGTGCCCTGAAGGCAGAGTGGCATTCCTGCTTGGAACATGAGATATGGTTTCTTTCCCAGGTCTTCCACAAGAATGTCAGATTTAAGGGGCCAATGGAGGTATGGTTAAGGGCCATTCTTATAGTCATCTTCTCCCCTGAGAAGGAGGTTTCTTCAGAAGCTCTTCTTTAGATACTCCTACCTTTGCTGTGTTCTGAGGCTGACAATGGAAGGGGATTGACTCCTCCCTTCCTCTCTCCTCCCCTCCCTCCCTCCTTCCATCCCTCCTTCTCCCTCTTCCCTCTTCCCCTTTCTTCATTCCTGGTCTTGGCGATTGAACCTAGAAGCTCACACATGCTAAGCAAATGTCTACCACTGAGCTTCACTGCAGCCCTTTTTATTTTTTATTTTGAGACAGTTTCACTAAATTGCTCAGGCTGGACTCAAATGTGTGATCCTCCCAACTCATCTCTTGACCCCCATGATTACAGTTGTGCACCTCCATGCCCAGTTTGATTCCATCCTTAAAGTAATGGTCCTTCCTTGCAACTTTCTCTGTGTCCTTTCCCAAGATGCATCTCCAATCCAAGTGCATTAGCCAGGGACACAAAGTTCCTCATGTGCTGCCTGCAGCATTCCTTTTCAGCCCCATGTCCTGCCATATGCCTTCAGTCTCTGTCCCTGGCCTCACCGAATTAGGATTAGTCACTCCCTGAGAACACCCTGAACTCATCCTCCTGAAGGCCTTTGCACATTGTGTTCCCTAGGTCTATTTTTTTTTTCTTCATACACGGAAATTCTCTTGGGTGTTGGGCTTAGTTTAGAAGTCACATCATCTGTAGAGAACTTCCAGATCCTCAGCATGACGTTGCATGGACCGGTGCTTATGTGTTCTTTTCAGCCTGTCTCGTTTGCTGCAGTATGCTCAGGGAGATGGTAAGGTCTTCAAGAGCTCTGGACACATCAGACCGACAAGGACTGGAGGTGCTGGTGAACACCTGTTTTGTGCTCTCCTGACTGCAGGGAATTTGACATCATGTTAGTTAACAGTTAAGTCAGAGGGGTTTCAGCAGTCCATTCGAGGGTTATCCATGATTTGTTTGATCACAAGACCAGACATTTGAATTCTAGTTTTAAGTTGGCCAGATACCAGCTAATCTTACAGAGAGGCCTATTTCCCACATATATATTAGTGGGAGTTTGATTCCTGCCAGGTCTCTGAGCTTTTTATGGTACTTAAGAATATAACAGTAAAGTAGAATGGATTTACCTGCCTGTACTATGAACCTTTTTTTTTAAGTTTAAAAAGGCAACCATTATTTTTATCCCAAAGCTCCTTGAAATGGAAGATAGCAGGAGTGTTCAGCATGTTTCTGTCTTGAGCAGAATGCCTGCTCATGTTGTATATACCTTTAACTACAACTAACAAAACTTGTGTCATGGAGCTTGATTTTGAAGAGCAGGGTTTAAATCCTTACTTTATTGTTCAACATTGCTGAAATGTTGGCCAGGTACCTACCTCACTGATCTCATTTCCTCTGTGTACAATTGGAAGCACTTTTTGCAGGGTTGATAGCTCGAATAAAATTTTAGACACGAAATGTGCAACTGTATAATACGTGTTTCAAGAAGCTGCCATCAGACACCATTTTAAAATAACATTTCAAAAAGTTTGCATTCAAAGGAAAATACTTAGAAGTAAGTTTCTGGGGAATATTTTAGGTTTTGAATGTTAATATAAATTAATTTACTTTCAAAGGACATACAGTATCTAACAGGCTTAGAGAATGTATATGTGCTACCAAAGCGAGCACTGGGCTTAGAGAATGTAAATGGCTCCTGGTAAAGTTTAGTTGAAATGAATTAGAGCCATAGAAACATAGGCTTTGAGAAATTACAGAAACCGAGACAGAGGAGATAGACATGAGAGAATGCACATTGTATACAGTTCCCGTGCTGTGCATGCTGGATGTGCAGTCCCAGAAAATGGTGACTTAACAGCTTGATGGATAGGAGGTGTTGGTCCCATTTTGCAGACTTGAAAACTTCTGCTTAGAAAGGTTAAAGTCATATTCCAGTCCCATATCAAAGCCGTGACTTTCAAATTGTACTCCTGTCAGCTTCTAGAAATCCCTTCCACTTACAGATGTGACAAGGCCTGCCATTGCTTTTTTGATTCTTTATCTTCTTACTCCAGGGGCAGCCACTAATTCGGAACCAAATGAAGCAGTGAGAATCTGCAGTCTCGGTGTCTTATATCTTGTTTATTCAATGAATCTAAATGAGTGCCTTGACTTTTCCTGCCAAAAATCTCTCCTTAAAATGTCTCATTCTGAGCTCCTTTGACTTTTCTCCTTCATCAGCCTTTACTTTTTAAATTCCCTTTTGGAGAGATATTTGCCACTGCCTGTCATCTTTTAGAGGTCGGGTCTTTTTTTTTTTTTTTTTTTTTTTTTTTTTTTTTTTTTTTTTTTTTTTTTTTTTTGGTATCAGGGATAGAACTGTGGACCCTATGCTTGCAAGGCAGGTGGTGGAACCACTGAGGTAAATCTCTTGCCTCCTCAGGGGTCTCTTTAAAGGTTTCAGTTTTTGTTTTAAAATATAGGTAGAAAGTAAAATTTGCTGGTCATTTCCCACAATCCTCAGCTGTTTATGGGCAGCCACAGCAGGGAGCTGTGGTTCTTCTTTTGAAACTGTCACTGACCAGGGACAGGACTTAATGCCTCACTTTCATGTCTTCAGTGTCTTCATTGTAAAAAATGAGGGCACCATAGGTGTTCCCTAAGTTTTTAAAATTATGCAGGTTTTATGGTGTCAGAACCATCAATTTCTGCTGAGCTACGTAATCCTGCAGCTGTTTCTCTGATACTTTTCAATCTTTAGATTTAATCTATTCAACAATGTATAATTTTTTAAAGAGAAGCTTTTATAGACACTTCTGAAATATAAGGTTGGGGAGGGGGATAAATGGATGTTAAAAAATAGAAAACAACCAATTAAATAGTATATAGCATGTAATTCTCCTTGGAAACTTACCACAAAATTGAGGAGCACTTTAACAACTGGTAATTTAAATTGCATTTGAACTCTGCTAATGGTTTGTTTGCATGAGAACTTCAATCATTTCACAGCAGTTCTTTAGCAAAGCTGCTTGTTCTCTTTATGGAAAAGAAGAAAAAAATTATTAAGACAGCCAGCTAGGAAATAGGGAGACCACTTCCACTGGAGTGTAGAGGGGAGCTGGAGAGTGTTTGCATGAGACTCCCTCAGGGCCAAGGGCGGACAGATTTTGCCTTTCAGTTAAGTTCAGAAATCTGGGAAGTCGCTTGCCCTTTGATGCTGTTGTAGAAACTTCTGATTTACCTTTCTCTCTGCAAAAAGCAGCTCTGGTTTGGTTTTATGGAGCTTGGGTGTGGGAGGTTGTCCTTTTGCTTTTTATGAGGGTTCACTGTCCATATCTCTAGTGATGACCTTCTAACAATCCATTCCTCAGCAGATTTGGAATTGAGCCTCTGTGGAGATAAGTTTGAGAGCTCTGATGTTCTCAAAGACAACCAGCTTTCAGGGAAGTCATTGCTTAGCTGTGCTTACCTCAGGTCAGCTCTATTTTCCTTAGTTTCTTTCTGCTATTGGAAGGGAGAGGTTTGAACAGGTGTTTAGAGGGCCTGGGTGTGTAAGTCCTGATTTGGCTTCAAGGCAGGTTGTATGACTGAAGGCAAGCTTTCCTCCCACTAAGTCTCTGTCTTCTTTCAAAGTTGGTAAGAACTAGCTCCAGTGGAACAAGCCCTGGACTTCCTGCCACCAGTAGTGGGCTCCCTGAATGGTCCCATCCCTACTTTGGCTCTTAGGTTCTCTTGGTGTCAGGTGGAAGAGTTGATTGGTTGATTTGCCTCATTTCTAAGGGCTTTCCAACTTTTGATTTTACAGGGATTTGAAGATTGAATGAAATGCTACACAGGAAGTACAATTGTTAGATAATGTTTCAAATCACAACAATGACTGCCGGGGTGGTAGGTGGATTTGCCATGCATACACAAAGCAGAAGTTTTATGACAAGTCCCTGGAATACTTCTCTGTGGAATATGCATTGCACAAACCTTAGAAAAGAGGCCTAGTTCTTAACAAAATGAAAACAGCACTGATGACTTAGAAGCTTTGAGATTTTCCAGCTCTCTTCCACTAGCTAGCTGTCATTTTTCAGACAAGGAAATTAAAGTTCAAAAATGCCACTTGGGCCCTATAGTTAAAAAGTTGTCTTTAAACTGTTCTTCCTCTTCTCTTTTTATTTGATGTAGTTCAGATTGATTTCAGTTTTTTCTTGTCTAAAATGTAAGTAATTGATCTCTTTTACCTCCATTATTAAAACAAAGCTATTTCCCCAGGAGAGCTAAGGCATGAAGACTGAGTCACAAGGGTCCTCTTTCCCCATCATTCTGAGATAAATTAATGGAATGCAAGTGGTAGAAACTGACCTGGCGCGTAAGAGGCTGTGGGGTCCAAGTCTGGCGTCATCCCACTGTGGTCCTGTTAGAGGCTTCATACACCTGGGAAATTCAGAAGCTGTTAAGATCTCCTCTCCTGTTTTCACAGGTGGTCACCTTGAAGATCAGAGACAGAAGTGGAAAGAAATCCAGTTAGCTATTTCTCAGTCTTGTGCTGTTTTTGTTGTTCCACCGTACACTCAACAGAGGGAAGATATTTTTCCTCACCTGGTGAGTCCTACATAGAAAAGATGTTTCTCTTTTAAAATTAACTGGCATGTTTCAATGAACTTAAAAAAATCATTGTTTTCATTTAAAGCATGGCTCCATTTAAGATTAAAAACTAGAGAAGATCAAAATGTCCCTTTTTTTTATTTCATTGGCAATGGGCAAGATACAATAATGCTAATAAATTGTGTGGCAAAGCAAAAAGGCAGAACTCAGCTCTTGGAAGGTGGCATGCGGAGAAAATGGAGGAAAAATTGGAGGAATGATGATTTCAAGTTGCCAATAATTGCATTCTTTCTTTTTTCTCCTTTGGCATGAAGGGAACTTTTTTTGAAGTTAAAAGACCAAAATGAAAATGTCAGGCAACAATGATATGAACATTTTGGAGGAAAGAAAGCACTACCATTATTATTGAATGTCTCTTGTTTACCCTTGTGCAGGGTACTTTTGCTGTGATTCATTTGTTGTCAGCAGAGCCTTTAGGGGTAGTGAAGGCTAAATTTGCTTAGACAGTGGGTGCCTCTGTGGTGAGGGCCTGCTAGTGTTCCATTGTGATTGAAGTGTGAATCTTGCTGTTCACTTGGGAAGGAAAGTGGTGACTAGGTAAGCTAAGCTTTACCTTGTGTCTGGAAGCACTTCCAAAAAATGTGTGTGGTAAAAACAATCAGGATACTCTAGCCTGTGGTGAAAGCTGAGGGAAATGTTTGGGAGAATTCTGGCTAAGGCTTCTCATTGGGATTCTAATTCTGTGTTCTCCCTGCTGAGGACCAGTCTCTGTCTACCCAAGATTGCACTGTATTGTGTAAATAATATACTTTGCCATGGTTGTGGTATAGTTTTTCAGAAACAGAACAGATTGATGAACCCAACTTCATTTAAAAGTGTGACTGAATTTGTAGTTGAATTTTGTTGCTCTCTCCTAATCAGTGTACAACTGACCTTCTCTATACCTTCAGGTCTGCATAACATAAAAGGTAGATCTATTTGACATTGACTTTCCAACATTTTAGTTTGTTATAAAAATCTCAAACACAGTCCCAATATTTTCCCCCAGTTTAAGCATCAAATAGGAAGCTTTGTCAAGTGCTTCACTTCTTTAATTTAATCAGTGTTTAAAATTGAATTGTGACAAATATGCAGCCTTGCATTTGGATTTGAAGAACTCGAATAATGACAGAATAGGAGAAATGGCTTTAATAGGAATAAGCCAATATAGGCTCAGAAATTCTCGTTGTCTGTAAAATAGTTGTGAACCAACAGTGGCTTTTTCTTCCTAATATGTCACTGTTGCCATAAACTATGTTAAGTGGTATCTGGAACAATGTGGATGGGCAGTCCTACAAACTCGGAACTCTTGGAAACTGCCAATTGCGGAGATAGAGTGGACTTTAGGCTCAGCTTGAACAGTACTCCAGTTCTGTTCTGTGCCATCTTGGTTGTGCTGGTTTCATCGTCAGGTTGTTTTGCCTCACGGTCAGAAGATAGCTGCCCACTGTAACCCAGGTGATTGGCATTTTTTTTATTTTTATTCAGAGGAAGGAGAACCCTATTTGTCACATTTTCATAGGCTTGGGTTACTGTACATAGCTGACCCAATCACTATGTGCAAGAGGACTGTGTCAGCTGACATGAATGAACGAGGGATCTCTTAGAAATGAATTAGGGACACTTTCATCCAACTACTGTGGGAGGCACACAGTGGAGAAGAAATGGTTCCTCAAAGAACTATCCAGGTACTGTTAGGAAGAGAAGACTAGAAGCTATGTGAAGAACTGCAGATCTTTTGTATACCTGCTTATCCTTGGAGTCCCCTTAGGGTGTCAGCCTTTAGTCTTTGCCTCATCTTCTTAGAGGGATATTAGCCAGCCACACTCTACCCAAGGATGGCGAGAGTACTATACATGATGTCTCACCAAGAACTATTACAAGTGTGAGTCCATAGAGAAAGTGGGATACTGGAACCTTTAAGAATATAAAACCAAGTAAAAAAAGAGACATTGTTTCCATGTGTGTACCCATAATCCAGTGGGGCGTATGGTACAGTAATTGATACAGTCAGCATTTCCATAGGGAGGATAAATGTGAAGGTAGTGAATGTTCCTTTCTTTAACGGTGTTCTGTAAGTACTGGCTGAATCTCTGTTGAGTAGTCCTCATACAGATGAGGCAACATTACACAGAGTTTTTGAGAATTAAAGAAATGGTTGGACAGGAAGTGGCTTTTGGGACCAGTATGGCTGAATAGCATTGTGAGTATATTAAAAGGCAGAGTATGTCAGAATAGGGTCACAGAAGACCTACCAAAAATTAGATATGCAACTCTAGAAAAACTTCTTTCTACCCTCATTTTTCTAATCTCTGAATTAGAGGCAGTGCCATTGCCTTGCTCATCTGTCATGTTTATTTAGTGAAAGGTGTGTTAACAGATGCTAACCTGTTGACTAAACTATAAAGTATGGTTCATACATGATAAATGATTTCATTTGGTTTCTTCCTTAGTGATTCATGTTGAACACAAAGAAAAGTAAAACAGTATGTTGAGTGTCCAGCACTATGCCTGGCCATCATACATAGTCAGTGGATACCCTTCTTCTAAGCTAGCCCTGTCCATAGATGAGCACACACTTGATCTCTGTCTTGGAAGGCGGCTAGATCTGGAGCCTTGCTTAATGATGATAATTAAAGTTGAAATAAAAATGTATATTATTATGACTTTCTATGTTCATTTTTTCCTGATGCAATGGGAAGTAGAAGGAGCCAAATCTGAAGACCTAGGAAGACTGATGGTGGAAAGACTCTATAGAAACTATAGTCTATTTGATAACTTGCATTATTAGGTTAGATAATCACACCTCCTTCTCCACGCATGACCAGCCCAATGGGAATCAGGAAAGAAATTATTTCCTTTTTTTAATACCAGTGTACAATAGTTGACTGTAGCCAAAGACTTTCAGTTTTAATATTTCCTCTGTCCTGAGAAGTATTAGGTATTACTTTCTGCCGGAAGCAAAACATTGGTTACTTCTGCCAATAGTGCATATCTTGGCTTTGTACAGTTACATTGTCAGGTGGCTTCTGGGTATCTGTGACCAATTGCCTAGACAGATTTTTGTTATTTGCTTGAAGAAGCATAAGAGGACTTGTTAGGTCCAGGATGAGACCCTTTAGCTTCCTCAAAGTCTGTGGGTCTTTATGTAATTAAGAGACATATTATACGAAGTATGTTGGTTGTCCATGAAAGTAAACAGTAGATTTATTTCTCTTTTATATCTTTCCTCTTGACTCCGAATTCTTTTATTTCTTGGCTTCTGGCATAGTGGAAATACCTTTAATCTAACTTAGGAATGGTCTCAGGAGATCAGCCAATTCTTAAATTCTCCCTTGACATGTTATGGTGTGGTAGAAAGGGTCTGATACCTGAATGGGTAGAGAGTTCTTTGTAGACTGCTGACAATATCTACCCTTGGTTCACAGAATGTTCTTGTTTTCTGTTCTTATCCCAGTGTTTAGAGGATAATGAAATGCAGAATCCCCATTCCCTCCCTCTCTTCCTTTCTGACTCTCTCTCTCCGTACTTCACTTCCTCCCTCCCTCCCTCCGTCTCTTTCTTCCTTCTTTCCTATATTGCAAGTGTTCTAACAAATCTTTAAGGCACTTTAGGGAATGAAGCACAATCTTGGATCTTGGGACGTACACAATTGGGGAGAAACACACACACATCAGGAAGATAACGTTTAGAACATACTTATTAATCACCAGATATATTCAGACTTCATGCTAGGTACTTGCGAGATCAAGGTAATAGGTCAAAAACATAGATGTCTGAGGATCTACATGTACAACTGGGAGAGAGTAGAAAGAATTGGGAATATAGACAGTATAGTTCTGGCAATTTTAGCCACTGGTAAATTTTGATTTAGTTGGATATTGTATTGCATTTTACTTCAAAGATAGAACCATGGAAGAATTGTGGTAAAGATTTTTTATACTCTCTATAAAGTTGCCATCAGCTTTGCTAATCTGCTATGAAAAGCATAGATATGTGTATGGTCAACTTTATGGTTTATAATTAAATGTAAAATTGGACATTTTCTTTTGTAAAATATTCTTCAGAGTCTGATGTTATTTTTTTACAGTTTTCTTTACAATCAGTAATACAAAAATAATCATGTTCCTATGAATAAATACAATTTTATTTCCTACTGTTTAGGGAGTACTGCAAAAGTTTCACTGTTACTTAACAAGTTTTAATGATTGACTTTAATGGCTTGATGCAGAAGATTTTCTTCTGTGCCATATATGTGCCAGTTCACAGATTAGTAATTACTGTATCTTAAAAGTAGTTATGTTACCAAGAACTTTGTAAATAAACAACTTTAACCCCCCCGCCAAAAAAAAAGAATTGGGAAGGTTTGGGGAAGACTCCCTGGATGAGATCCGATCTCAGCATAACCTTTGTAAACCAATTTCAATTGAAAAATTTGAGTGTGTGGGAGGATGACAGTCTTCTTGTAAACCTTGATATAGAAAAAACACAAATATTCAATTAATGCTGTGCTTCCCCACCTCTGAAAGTTTGCTGTCCTTGGCAGTTAGAGAAGCTTTGGTGGAAATGTCTGGAGGTTCTTGCTGGAGCCCTTGGTGGTATAGGTGAAATCCCAAAAGCTGGAGAGGGCGCAGACTCTCTGGGGCCACTGAGCCAGTGAGCAGCGATAGGAGGATTCACCAAATTCCTCATGTCTTTCTGCCTCATCACATTGTCACTCACTGCTTCTTAATGATTGCACAGCACCCTTAGGCATGGTTCCAGTTATCTCAAACCTTCTTCTGTCCCAGAGACACATTAGGGAGAAATAAGCTATGGTCTGCCACCTTGAGTCTTGATACTGTCCCTTTCCTTATATTTTAGGGATCTGCTCCTCCTGTTGGGTCAGGCTGTGTCCTGGAGAGCTGTGTAAAGCAGTCCTTGGCTCAGGGAGCGTGCCTCTACAGCTGTGAGTAACGCAGGTATTAGGAAAAGAGAGAGAATTCACCGTTGCTGAGAGGCTGAGCGGATGAGACACAAAAGCTTGGCCAACATCTGCTGTCTGGCAGCAAGTTTCTTTTTCAGGGCATGCGTCTCTTCCTTCCCATTTCTTTCCCGCTTCTTATGAAACCAGATTTGACAGTTCATTTTGTAGAAGATGACAGGTTCTTTAAGAATCTACCATAATATTCTTAAAAAATTAATGGAAATGGGAGACTAAAAATCATGGTCAAGCTATTAGCAGCCCTGTGGACCAAATGAAGAAAGCACAGTCATTAAGAAAATGTCACTGGCCATAATGTTAATACTTCTTCCACTCTGCCAACTCTTTCTACTCTCAATATTTTTATACTTTTACTGTATTTAAGGTAGTCATTATAATTTTTTATTGAAACTATGTAGTAAGAAATAGAATTCTAGCTTGAGGTAGGCAAAGCAAATGTTGATAAAGCAGATTTTAGAGTAGGAAGCCCGCATATTACCTGCATAATCTTACTTAATTCACTTAATTAGTTTTTAAACCTGCTTTTGTATCTTAAAAACTCAGAGCAAGAAGTGCTTACCTTGCCAGATATGGTGGCACAAACCTATAGTCCCAGTAGTCTGGGAGGCTGAAGCAGGAAGTTTCCAAGTTTGAGCCTAGTCTGTACAATTTGCTGATTTAGTGAGGCTGTGTCTCAAAATTAATAAACAAAAAAAAAGGCTGAGGATGTAACTCATTGTCAATACCCAGTACCACACACACACACACACACACACACACACACACACACACACACACACAAAGATAAAAAGGAAGGAAAGAATAGAAAGAAGACGCCTTCCTAATGGTGTTTGTGGGAAGCAGTGTAATTGTATCAAGTGCCCGCTGAACGCAGTACTGGACAACAGTGTGTCCTGCATACTTGGTAGTCTGTCACTGCTGGAAACCACTCTTAGTTCTTTTCATCCTCAAGCTCTGGATTCAGTAGCTTCCCTTTGCCGTGCTGGGAGGAGACCTGAAGCATTTGCATTTCAGTCACCCCAGATTGCATATTTCCCTGAGTGACTACAAGTCTCAACATTTGTAATGTTGAGATGGCTCCCAAGAGATAAATTCACACACCAGGAGATGCTTATGTTCTCTGATATTTGGGAATATAATAGCTCTGAGAAAAAAGTAATCATAAACTCTGTTTCATGAGGAAGGTCTTTTGGGCGTTGCTACTGAAGTGTTGGTTTTCACCATAAGACCGTGTAGTCCAGGGGCTGTGGACTCCGCCCTGCCCAGCCATGTCTGGTCTGCAAATGGCAGTGTCTCTGGCCCTGGACAGCTCTGACCCTCCTTGGTTCCTCCTTGGACTTCTTTAGGATGACATCACCTTACCCTGCTTCAATAGCAACTGGCTTGAGTTATATCAGTTATTAAAAATGATCTAATATTTTGCTTTTAAACCTGGGGCCTTGGCTTGTTCTATGATTAAGCTAGGGATTTATTTATAATAAGGTATGAGATGGCTGCAGCCACTCTATGATGTAATCTAAGAATGACATGAAAACAAAATAGGCTTTTACATAATGAAAATGTTCCTGTAATACAGTCTATAGCAGGATTTTTTTTCACTTTGAAAATGGAGACATATTCTTTATTTTTCTGTCCATTCCTTTCTTATCTTCTTTTTCCATTTCAAGTGCTTCAATTTAATTAAAAATAGCATTTAGAACTCCACAAAGCCTCTGGCTTATTCTCCTAATCTTGTCTTGTTGCCTTCTTTCTACTCTGTCCTCTACAGCCACCACCCACGGCCTCTGTGCCGCCCATTGCCGTGCTTCTCCTCAGCACACACCTGCCCTCACCACTCCTTTGTCTGCGCTGTTTCTTCTCCTGGGAATGCACCGTGGTCCTCAGTTTCCTTGTGTACACTGGCCAAACATCCTTCTGCAGGCCAGCTGAAAGCACCTCTTCCTTCCAGCCTCCTGTGGAGCTTCTGCTCCTGGCTAGAAACTGTTTATCTGTTCTTCTTATAATTTGGTACAACATCAAAATCTCATCCCACTCACGCACCCATGGAACATTCACAGAATACTAGTGGAGGAAAAGAGACTTTGAGAATAGGGGAAGGGCCCTTTGTAGTTAGAGGTTTGCTCCTTATGCTTGAGGTCGGGGAGGTGTCTTGGCCTGGCCTTGCATTGTAGTTTTCCTCCTCTGAGGAATGAGTGGTTTGAATTTCACTTTATATCACAAATGGTGTCTGGTGGTGACTCCTTGAGGTGCTGTGTTGAGAAGGATTCTGAGGCCTCATCCTGATTAGGCCATGAGCACGTAGCAGGATCTGCCTTGGTTACGGCAGAGAAGTGAATGTGAAGCCACACAGTAAGTCTTTTGCCTGTTCTTAGATTAGACGATTTAGGGTTCTCTTTTTGTTTTACCTCCTGGGAAGCTTTGATTTACTGACTTTTAAGTGTCTTGCCCAAGGACACACAGCAAGTTAGTGTCTAAAACTCAATTCTGAGATACAGAGATGGTAAAAGATTCATATTCTGATTTCACATTTATCTATGTAGACTGATAGTAGATGGGATAAGAAGGGCTGGATGGGCCATGAGTTATTGTAAGGCCCAAATTCTTTATGTATTTGAGGTGAGGTGAGGTGAGGTGGGGTGGGGTCAGGGATGGAAATATATGCACTATTCTAATTTATGTGCAAGATGTTCAGTTGAAGGTCAACATCAGAAAGGTAGGTGACCATACCAGAATCTTATTTGGATCAACTTGACTGCATGAATTAGTTAGATCCCCTGTACCCCTTCTTCCAACCAAAGACAAAATGCATGGCTCTTACTGGAGCCAATTGCCTGAGTACTACATCAGCTCAAAGCCAGAATATGGGACAGTGGGAGATGGATAGAGGAAAGAAGGGAAGAAGATGGTTCAGGATGGTTTAAGGCACTGGAATTGAATGCCCTGGAGGGATGGAGGAATTGGGAAGGATCAGTGTGGAAAAGAGTGAGAGGAGGGAGCAGAGGTGGTCTTTTGTTCCTGTTGGGCTCTGATGTGGAAGGAATAAACTTCACTCTGTTTCCTCAGAATGAGTTCTGGGAGGAATGGGTAGAAGGGATGGAATGATATCAGGAGGAACAATTTTTACCATTAGCAGACCAGAGATGGAATGTGCTTTTCAGGTAGTCACTGCAGGGATTTAGGTAGGGGTTGACACCAGTGTCTTATAGAGGGAGTAAGAAGTTGGACTCTTCTAAGGCCCGAGCTTAGAACATTTTTTAAGATTTTAAGAGTCTAGAATTTTCTGAAGATAAATTTTATGTGCATTTAAATGATTTCCCTTTTAAAGTGATGGTATTATGAAGGAAAATGATTCTTTCTACATGGACTTGGCACCTAGCAGTGCTAATTTATCTCAGGAAATTTTTTGTCATACTTAGAATTATGGATGGATAATGGAAATGAGTCAAGGATGTTCTAGTACTTTTCTGTGCTCCATATGTTGTTTGTTTGTTTGTTTTGTTTTTATTTTTCTCTTACCGGGGATTGAACTCAGGACCTTGTGCTTGCAAGGCAGGTGTGGTGCCACTGAGCTAAATCCCCCACTGCTGGTATGTTTTTGAGGATAATTTCTGTGCTTCTTTTTGAGAAAGTTGCGGAGAAGTCTGTTCTTGAGGACTTCTGAAAACTCTCCCCCACTTTGTCATTGATTTGCTTTTTCTGTGCTGCATATTTCTTGTTTATGCACCCAGTGGAACATTCATGCTGATTTTGGGTTACATGTAAGCAGATTCTCAGTTTTCCTTCTCCCTGGGCATAGAAACTTGTTGAGGGCACTGATCCTGTCTTATTCTGCAACCAATCTGATGGTGTGGTATAGTGTTTGTGGATAATAATAGTGTGACTCATTTTAGCAACTGCTTTGTACCTGCTGCATGTGAAACACTTGTCCAGATGAAGTAACTGTAAGCAAAAGCAGGCAAAATAATGAATAAATATATAATAGGAGGTTGTGGCCTATGTGAAGAAGAGCAGGCTAGAAGCCCAAAAAAGAGGACATAGTGTTCGCTTTGGCAGCACATATACTAAAAAAAGAAGAGGACATAGATACAGTTAAGTCCATGGGAGTAAAGTCCTGCAGTATGAAGTGAGGCAGGAAGCCACAGGTATGGAGTGGTGATGGGAGAACGAGTGTTTCAGGCCGAGGGAAAGCTGTTAAAAAAGCCCAGAGCTTGAAGGAGACCCTGTGTTTGTTAGAAGGTGAGGAGGCCAGTGTAGCTGGAGTGAATGCTGTAGGAAAGACGACACATGCTGATAAAAATGGCTGCAGCAACAGATACTTGGTAAGCATCCATGAAGGATACTAGGGAAAATCGCCTTTATGATTTAAAAAAATCCACAGAAATCTAACAAAAAGAATGCCAACACCCATTCCTGTTTTTCAGCTTGGAGATATGAGGAGAGGTGAATTGGAAGCTGGGACTGTAACTCTAGACAGTTCAGACTGAGTCCCAGTGGCTGAGGGTTCTGGTTTCCCTCCCACCTGTAGCCCTCTGCGGTGAAAGACTTGGTGTTTCGGATTTTTTACTCCTTCGGAGTGTGCACCTGCAGGGACACTCGGCCCATGCAGATGGGCAATTGCATGCCTAATCACCCATTCAGGCACCCACTTATTTGTTTTCCACATGCAAATATGGGTTTTTTGCAGATGAATTTAATATATTTGTTGCTTCCCCATTTTATTTAAAACAAAACAAACGGCCAACCATGTCAGTTGAGGGTAGCAAATAGAAACGTGGGTATTATGGTCTTTGCTGTCTGTATCACTTACACGGCTGAAAGGGATCCCAGGCAAATGAGTCTTTTCTGGGCTTAATTTTACTTTTTCTTCATATCATCTTTTCTGACCATCATTATTGGTTAAAAAAAGGCTTAAAGAGAGATATGATATTACTTTCCCTAAGTAATTTTCTCAGTACTTAAGGTTCTATATATTTACTG